AGTAGGTAGATGGGTAGATGGGTGAGCCCAGAGTAGGAAGGAAAACTGAGGGTGGGGGGTGGTCCTTCTCTGGCTCACTAGCATCATCAGTAGAAGTTGCTTGTGGAAGTCTGAGCTTGTTTTTTTTTGTTTTTTTTTAGTGTTTGGAGTCAAAGCTTAGGAACATTGGAGGATTGCACAGATGACAGGAAAGAGCGGGTAGGCTTCCAAAGGCCGTGGCTGTGAAGCTGGGCCTGAGAAGACTCTTTGGGAAGTGTCCCCAAGCAAAACCATAAACTCTTGTGCCTGGCCGGGGCCATGTTGCTTACCTGGGACCATGTTTCTCAGGACTGGCCAACCATACAAAAAAAGGTGTCCCAAATAAACATATTTGAACTGATGTCCAGAAACCCAAGGAAGAAAACTAAACGCAGAGAGGAGGGAGAGGGGTATAGTCATGGTGGCTCAGTCCTACATAAGAGACCATTTGGGAGATGGGTCTGCAATTAAAAAATGTATAGAAAACTGGGCACCAGTGGCTCATACCTAGAATCCTAGCTGCTCAGAAGACTGAGATCTGAGGATCGTGGTTTGGAACCAGCCCAGACAAGAATCTTACCTTCAGTAAATCATCTAAAAAAGCCAGACGAACTCAAATGGTTGATTGCTATCCTTGAGCATAAAAGCTTAGCAACAGTGCCCAAGTTCTGAGTTCAAGCCCCATGATCAACACACACACACACACACACACACACACACACACACACACACACACACACACACACACACAAAGAGGCTAAGGGAGTGGCTCAGAATCACAGATGTCTATCATATTTCTGTGAATTGCCAGGGCAGGCATCAGTTTATGTGGCTGGGAACCAGTGAGTCATAGTCCCCGAGGAGCAACAGTGATGCATCAAGGAGGTTTCCCAAGAAGTAACAGAGGAAATCTCTTTGTCTTTCGCCACCTGGAAAGGTCGGTGAGCCCAAGGCTGTTTCTTTCTTTCTCTTTGACTAGGTGGTAGATTCGGATCAAGCTCACAGCCCACATGGGCAAGGGAACTCTTTCTAAAAACAAGTTGCCCACTTCCTCCAGGCAAGAGACCCAGCTGCAGGAGTGGGGGCAGGGATGAGTGAGGATGAAAAGGGGGATTGGTGGTGGACCCTCTTTCCTCCTATGAACAGGCCTGACAGGTACCACACCTCTAGAGGGGCACCATCACTGCTTCTAGATCTTTCTATCCACTACTGGCAGTTGAGAACCACAGCAGGGCAGAGAGGGAGACCCTATTATGTTCTCTTTGAGAAGAGGGAACTCAGGCTCACAGAGCTTAGGCAGGGAAAGCAAGGTTGTTTCAGGCCTGGTGTTTTGGGGTCTTCATGTGGAGACATAATGATTTCCATGGTATAGATTTTTTTTTTAAATGATCACTTAGGAACAAATTGGCTCTCCTATTTGTCTTTATTTGTTGTCATTTTCATTTATTTGTTTTACCTATTTATTATCCTTAAGTTGTTATACAAAGGGGTTTCAATGCAATACATCAGTTTATGAGTACTATGTATTTTTAAATGATTTTTGTTGTATTTTTTAAATGGTTTTCGTTGTTTTTATTCTGGTACTGGGTCTTGAACTCAGGGCCTAGACTGTTCCTTAGCTTTTGTTCAAGGCTGGCACTCTACCATTGAAGCCACAGCTCCACTTCTTATCTCCTCTATTTGGATCTTAAGGATAATTCCATTTTTCTTTTAACTGTAACAACAACCAGAGCCATTTAAAACAGTTCTTTTTTCTTCCCAAAGACTTGTTCCTTCCTCATTACAAAAGTAGTGTGATTGTTAAAAAGACTGACAACACACAAATGTTGAAATGATGATTTTACACATAAGCGCAATGTTCTGTATTTGGATTTTTAAAAGTAAAAATCGCAATTCCCCTTTCTAAGATAGTAATGGCTCAGAATCAATTCTTAGAGATCATTCTCCACACATCTACAAACATAAATACCCAGAGGTCTCAATATATCATTAAAGCAAATCAAAGTTGAAGAGCAATGAGCTTAAAATGTTGATACCTTATGCATTACATATTTTACACATCATCTTCTATAAGATTTCAATTTTCTGCTTAAAGATTATGTGCACAAAAATATAGGAGAATGAGGCACTTCCAGAGATCAATTTTATGTATTTCTACAGTGTATGTACTTGGATTTAAAAAATCTGTATCTCTTTATTGAAGTACAATAGCTGTATATGGAAGTCAACTTACAGCTCAGTGACATTTTGTGCATGGAAGTGACCACACCCAGAGGCAGAAAGAGCATGCGCCCTCCCCGAGCCTCACTCTGCCAATAGTCTCTCTTCACTAAAGCCACCATGTCCGGACTCATGCCTGTCTTTATATCTTGTTTTATATCTCTGCTTGAATTACAACAGTGCACATGTATTGTCCCATGTTTTGTATTAAAATGAGAATAATCAATACAAATATTGTTAAAATCTGTGTATATGTAGTGGCTATCATTGGATATATAGCATCTAGGAAATTCCTTCACAGCTGCAAAGACTCCCTTATTACGCTATATATAAAATTTTATTTATTTTTATTTTTTCATCATGGGGCTTGAATACTGGGCCTGGGTGCTATCCCTGAGCTCTTCAGCTCAAGGTGAGCACTCTACTACTTGAGCCTCAGCACCACTTCCAGTTTTCTGGTGGTTTATTGGAGATAAGAGTCTCACAGTCTTTCCTGCCTGGGCTGGCTTTGAACCATGATCCTCAGATCTCAGCTTCCTGAGTAGCTAGGATTACAGGCATGAGCCACCAGCGCCCGGCTAAGGCTATGTTAAATGTATCTAATTCTTACCTTTTTTTTTTTTTTTGATCATGGGCTTAGTGCATGCTAGGAATCTGGTCCCTTTTGGAGTGTTTCCCACTGAGGGTTCTGCTTATGTAGAACCACACAGAATAATTTGATATGTTGTTCCTTTGTGCTTGCCATTTGACTTAACATAAATGCCTATACATGGAGTTGCTAGTCAGAATATAGCTAGATTAATTTTTTGCACTTTTATACATATTGCTGGAATGGCAGTTCTTTCTTTAGTACAAAAGGCAAGTGCTGGGTATAACATTTTCACCACAGCCCCCACTTCTAGTGGTCAAGGTTGCTCCTACTGCCTGAGCAGCTTGGAGTTAAATTTGCCTCGGCATACCTGGTGGCCAGCCCAGCCCCACCTGAACTTGTAAAGCAGCGATTTCGAAGATGACAGCCAGGAGGCACGTTGAATGTCAGCTCCTGCAGTGGGACCAGGGCCTCGAGGCCCATGCTTACTTCCACTGTGGACTGCGTTTGAGCCCAAGGAAGGCAGACTGCATGCAGCTGGGCTTGGGTCTCATCATTTGTACACCATGGCCAAGGCTAGAAGTCTAAATTAGCAAGCTGGAGGAGTCAGGTCCCTCCACCCCTGACCCTTTCCCCTTCTCACCACAGCAGGGCTGATGGGGAGAAAACCTTTGCTTTCCCAGCTCCATACCATACCCAGTTCTATTGCAGCCCCACCTCAGATGCTGGGAGGTGGCCATGCTGCCTCTCCCCGATGGCATCTTTTCTTTTCTGCCAGTACTAAGGGTTAAACTCAGAGGTTTGTGCTGTTCCTTAGCTTAAGGTTGTTGGAGCTCTACCATTTGAGCCAAAACTACTTCTGGCTTTTTTTTGCTGGTTAATTGGAGGTAAAAATCTCTCCAATTTGTCTACTTGTGCTGGCTTGGAACCTTCATCCTCAGATCTCGGCTTCCTGAGTAGCTCTAGGATTACAAGCATGAGCTGTAAGCCAGTGCCTGGCATGCTTTCTTGTTTGGTGTAACATTTTTATATGCTGAACACAACCTCTGAACCTCTTAATACAATAGTTCCCACATGCTTTTCTCTGAGCTTGCTGGGAAAACAGGTGGGACTTTATTCTCTTTGTATACCCAAGTTGTACTGGGCTTTAACTCCATAGTTTCTAGACAACCAGGGGTTAAGACCCAGGCTCTCAAAAGGTAAGAGGCTTCTCTCTTCCCACTCCAGCTCTCCATTTGCTCCTTTCATCTTCCTATTCTGACCATTAAAGCTGAGAGGTAATAATCAAATCAATGCACAGAGACTCAGATGTCTCTCACCTTCTCTTTGGTGCAAGACTGTCTTGATGCCAGGATTCTGGGGACTCAACCAAGAGTGGATAGGGTACTTTGGAGTGAGCTTGGAGAACATGCTGCTGGAGACACTGATGGCCTGGCTCTGGTACCTTGGACATTTCTAACCTTCCAGCTTTTTCTACATCTACCATGGGAATTACAACATGCGTGGGGGGCAAATAAAGATCTTGGATACAAAATGAAGTCATACAAGTTTTATCCTTGTGTCATTCCAACTGATCATCAACGTATTTACTGTAGACAGGTTTTCCCTCTTCATTTACATCACAGGAGCCACTTCTGTGATTGACTCAGATTTTATTTTTATAGCTGACACATTCATAGCAACACAGAGGAGAAGAAAGGAAGAAATGGAGGTTGGGAAATTTCCTGCTGGGAGAAAAAAGTGACATATCTTTCCTCATGGGTTTCCAGCTCTAAAGGAAGACCTGAGAGACTCACATGGCTGTGTCGATGGGAAGTCCTAGGGCTGTTGTCCCAGTTGCATCCCACAAGTAACCCAAGAGTCAATCAGGACAAAGCAACTTTCAAAGATGGTAGCTGGACAGCTCCCACTCAAGGTCCCAACCCACCCAGGACAAGTACAGGAACTGGCAGTATTGCCATGGTAGCTGTTCTTAGTTCTCCAGCCCACTTGTGAGTGTCCTAAAGCCCCCTTCTAAGACTCCCCATGGCTCAGCAACAAGTCACCCTGTGCTTGAGGTCCACAGAAAGAACTAGCAGCAGTTCAATGCAGGGTCGGGGAACCAGCATTGCCGCAGGTGTCCCTTTTGTCTCTTTTGCGAAGATCTTGTGCATTACTGACCACAGTCTTTTCATAGCCGGATACCAAGAGCACAGTCTCTGGTTATTTGTGAAACCTGCAAACAACAGCAAGTTGTAAGATCACTTATTTTCTGAGCAAATGGTACCATATTTTCTGTAGCAAGAGACAAATAGCAAGCTGGGTTCTGGTGGCTCATGCCTGTAATCCTAGGTAGTCAGAAGGCTGAGATCTGATGATCACAGGTTCAAAGTCAGTCCAGGCAGTAAAGTTTGTGAGACTCCTATCTGCAATTAACTACCAAAAAAGCTGTAAGTGGAAGAGTGTGAGTGGGGAAAGCTCAGGGACAGCATCCAGGCCCTGAATTCAAGCCCCAATACTTGGGGGAGTGGAGGAGAGGGAGAAAGAAAGAGAGAAATAAGGTAAATAAGAGGGAATGGGGTTCTAGCATTCCAGGGACCAAGCATTTTGTGCTAGGAAGTTTTGGGGGCTTACCTCAATCATTTAAAGAAGTTAAAATATAGCACAAAGTCTCTAGCTTTGAACAATGTTACTTCCTGCAGGGTCTTGTAAGGTGAGTAATTCACAAAGGCACATTAAGAAGCAGCTGAGGGGATGGTTCCCACTGGACAGTCAAAGGCCGGGAAACATCTATTTCAAACTGCAGCTGGAGTTTGGAAGAGCTGATCTTCAAGACCCAGGGACTGTTTTGGCCACATGAAGGTCATGATAACAAACCCATAAGGGCTTTTCAAGCTTCCTGTATGCCGTAAACTCTTGTTCAGATAATATCTTCTAAGTAAACCCCAACAACAGAGAGCAGAGTTGTTTCTAGTGAAGAAAGGGTAGGGTGGGGAATGCAGGGACCCCCAGGGCCACTCTGAGCTTCTTCCTTGTCTCAGCTGCTTCTCAGGAACCCTGGCTTGCCAAAGCTTGAGACCTTACCTCCAGCTTCCCCCAAATTGGCATTAGATCACCAAGAACAGATTAACAAAGAGGATATGTGGGCACAGACCACAGGCAGCGCCCAGAGTAGGCTCCCTCACCATAAAAGGTCATCATGGGGGAGATTTTGAACAGAACTTTCGGGGCGGGGGTCTAATTTAGACAGTTACGCTTAAATTATTATATCTTAAGTGAAGTGGAGGTAAGTAGTTTCTAAATCAACCCATAAAATGAAATTATCATTGCACATTGTCCATAAAATACAGCTGCATGCCAGTGCTGGTGACTCATGCCTGTAATCCTAGCTACTGAGGAGGCTGAGATCTGAGGATCTCCGTTCAAAGCCAGCCTGAGCAGGAAAAGTCCATGAGACTCTTATCTTCAATTAACCACCAGAAAATCGGAAGTGGCACTGTGGCTCAAGTGCTAGAGTGCTTGCCTTGAGTTGAAGAGCGCAGAAACAGCAACCAGGCTCAGAGTTCAAGCCCCATGACCAAGCCAAAAAAAAAAAAAAAAATACAGCTGCATGGCTAAGCAAATCTTATGTATGATACTGTAGCGTTTGTAAAAATGAGAGCTGATGTGGGCATGATCATTTTAGAGTATTGAAAAGCACATTTTGTTTCCTGGTGGTTAGAGTCATAAGGTTGAATTTAGTTGTGTCAGTTTGTTCTTTGACTCCTTAGAACTGGAGGTTGAATACTTTCTGGTCATTTCCCTAGCAGGCCTAACAGAAGCCATGAGATTGGTACTGCCATTCCATTTTACAGATGGGAAATTGGAGGCTCAGAGAGGTGAAGTGCCCCAACTGTAGCCACACAGCTGCAGAGTGGCAGATGGGACTTAGATCAGCCACTATCTGGAGCCAGCACCCCTGAGCACAAGACCTGGTGGTTCTCTTCCACTTAGAGATGTATCCTCTCCCTCCCCCACCCCCATGTGAAAGGGGGTGTTCTGAGGATCAGATGGATTCGTGAAGTAAGTAGATATCACACAGTCTCTATGTTGAGAAAGATTAGATCCAACAGTGGGGTCCTAACCCTGGGGATGCGGAGCAGCTAGAGCCTCTAGCTTTTAACAGCCTTTGTTTTTTTTTGCCAAGATTTGCCAAGATCTGCAGAATGATTTTGTATTTATTTGCTTGTATTTATTTATTTACTCTTGGTTCGAGTCTTGCTCTGTTGCCAAAGTTGACCTGGGTTTACTATCCTCCTGACTCAGACATCCTAGTGCTAGGATTACAGGTGTGTACCATGTTTGCGAGCTAAAGGGCCTTTTTTTTGGATGCTGCATTGTGAGGCTGAACCTTCGGGCTTGCCAACTCCTAGGATCAGCTAGCACCCAGGGTGGGAGGTAGGAAAAGTACGGGTGTGTAAAAGAGGAAGCCACTGCTGGTGGACTGTCTCCATGATGTGCAAAAGGGGGGAATGAATTCCCCATCTCCTGCAGGCCTGGCTGAATGACAGGTGGGGAGGGGCTGGACTGAGTTCTCGCTGGTGTCCTAGGCTTGTGAAGGTTGACTGTTATCTCTGGGAAAGCTGAGCACTCAGCTTGTTTTCTGTGACTCACATTGAGCGGTTACTCTGTATTTTTGTTTACTCAGGTTAACTTGTTTCCAAATGGCCACTCCATCTGTGCTGGCATATAATGTCAACTCCTGGCTGCAGCAGGGGCTATCTGCAGCACAGAAGCTAAGGAACCAGGGCCCCGCCCAAGGACCACTCACTGTTTCATGAAGTGAAGCCGGGCTCTCCTTCGCAGGCCTGGAAGAACAGAGCAAGTACCACAGTCAGCGGGGGCTCTGGACCACAGGCACCAGGCCCAGGGATGGACAGGGAGGAGGAAGGCAGCTCCATCCCACCTCAACCTCGTCCCAGTGCCAGGTTTGCTCCCAAACATTCCACACCCATCAACCCCCTTTAGGTTCACTGAAGCTTATGAGTTGGATACTACTACAAGGTCCATCTTAAGATGGGGAAACAGAGGCACGACAAGCAAGTTATTGAGTAATCTACCTAACTAGTATCTTAAACTAGTATCTTAAGCAGGAAAAGGCAGGATTAAAAGCATTTCTACCATTCTGTGTCCTTAAACTCTTCTTTCTTGTCCTTCATAATAGGTCAGGAATGAGAAATCCCATAGAGGGGCATTCGAACATAGCATGGGTACCAGGGATAAGCAAGATTTCCCACTGGGGTGAAGGGAAGAAATGTAAATGTGTCTCAACCTCTATTACTCTTTGTCTTTAAAGTACAATAAATAAACATAGCTAGTTGCAGTTAGTCTTGGCAATTAAGCAGAAAAATCCAGAAGTGGTGCTGGGGCACAAATGGTAGGTCACTAGCCTTGAGATGAAGAGCTCAGAGACAGTGCCCAGGACCAGAGCAAAGGCCCACAACCCACAAAAAAGAAAAAAAAATACCAGTAAATAAGAAAAAAAGTCCTTAATCAGAGAAGTTTGTAGATCATGGCGCTTTAGTAGGTTCTTAGAGTGGGATACCCAGACCCCGAGGTGTGAGCAAGGGATGCAAAGCTGTGCATGCACGTGGGTCACCATTGCCATCACCTGGTCCCAGAGACCTGTGGCTTGCCAAAGTTTAGGGCCACCGACCTGCCCATTTTATAGAAACCCAGGGAAGGGGAAAGTAACTTGCACAAGGAGGCATGGGTGAGCTGAAAAGCTAGAGGCAGTCTGAGCCTCCCCTCCACTGATGACAAAGCCAGTCGGTTAAGAGACCATGAGAAGAGATGAGCCCAGGTCTGTAGTGGCCAAAAACAGCAGCCATCTGATTTTCCCACAGTCCCTTGGAGGGGGGACTTCCGGGAACTCCACTCACACCATTGGCTATCTCACCTAACTCCTGGGCCCACATCCTGCATCTCTACTACTTGGGCAAATTCCCATCTACAGCACAAACCTCATGCCAGCTTCTCTGGGAAAGACTTTACCGACTGTAGCCCTGGCAGGTAGATAATGTTTTACTCCCAGGCCAGAAGCCAGACAGTCAGCACTGGAACCAAACATAGATCCATCTGACTCCAGAGACTGGTGGGCTCTCCTTCTGGCAGCATAGGATCTGAGATGTGGAGTCTGGAGATGTGGCTCAGTGCTAACATTCGTTCTCAGCAAGCATGATATACTGGCACCTCTTGACTTCCTCCAACTCCTTCTCCCCCCACAAAGAATCACTTCCAGAACTACCATTGGTTCTCTGGGGCCAAATAGCCACCAGGCTGCTGTCTACTGTACTAGAGAAGGAACTCCCCCTCCCTCCTGGACCTTCAGACAGGAACTGGGGACACCAGGATGGCCTGGCAAGGGGCAACTCACAGTAAAGGCGCATGCTCACACCCAGGGACACCAGCAGAACCAGGATACCGGCCACCAGCAGGCTGAGGGTGATGAGGCTACATGTTGGGCCTGGAAAACACACAGGACACTTGTTCAACACTGAGCATTTGAGGCAGGCAGATACAGAAGGAGGAAAATCACCCAGAGACCAGAACCCACTTTTAGGAGAGTGCTACTGGTTACATTTTGGTGTACTTTCTTCCTATCTTTTTTTTTTTTTTTTTTTTTTTCATGCCAGTCCTGGGGCTTGAACTCAATCTGGGTGCTGTCCTTGAGGTTTTTGTTTTGTTTTGCTCAAGGTTAATGCTCTACCACTTGAACCATAGATCGACTTCCAGCTTTCTTGGTGATTTACTGGAGGTAAGAGTTTTGTGGCTTTTTCCTGCCCAGGCCGGCTTCACGCCATGATCATCAGATCCCAGTCTTCCCAGCTAGGATTACAGGCATGAGCCACTGGTACCTGGCATCAATCTTTCTTGTATTCACTTTGAACACATCAAGATCTATCTATCTATTTATCTATCTGGCTAGCTAGCTAGATATCATCCTCCAAATTTTTTAAAAATAATTAAACTCAGAAACTATGTTCAAAGGAAGAAGAAAATTCTCATGCCTAGAAATGAGATTTTATTTAAACTATTTGATGATTTTGTATTTGAATTTCACAACTTGCTGGCTATATTTTTTGAGAGGTTTGGACTAATTATATTTTTATTGTAAAAAAGTTTTGTATGAAGTTAAAATGTCCTGAGAGCTAGGTGCCAAGTAGTTCACACCTGTAATCCCAACTACTCAGGAAGCTGAGATCTGAGGATTTCAGTTCAAAGTCAGCCAGTACAAGAAAGTGCATAAGACTCTTACCTACAATTAACCAGTGCAAAACTGGAAGTAAGGATGAGACTCAAATGGTACAGTGTTAGCCTTGAGCGAAAAAGCTAAGAGACAGCCTATAGGCCTGAGTTCAAGTCCTAGTACTGGCATTAAAAGAATAAAACAACAATGACAACAAAACTCCAGGTAAGGAGCAAACAGCATTGGTAATTTGATAATTTTCTTTTCTGAATTTATGTGTTCGTAATTTCCATGGATATATAAGTTACTTTAAAAATTCACACAGTGGACCATTCTGGGCTAGTTTCCATGTTTTACTCTTACAAATCACTCATCCTGGTAATTGTTTCATGTCCTGAAGCTGATATGAAAATGGGAACTACAGATTCATAGACTTTAACTATTTTTATTTTTGGCCAGTCCTGAGGGTTAAACTTAGGGCCTGGGCACTGTCCCTGAACTTTTTTGTTCAAAGTTAGCACTCTACCACTTGAGCCATAGTGTCACTTCTGGCCTTTTCTATTTATGTGGTACTGAGGAATCAACCCCAGAGCTTCATGCATGCTAGGCAAGCACTCTATCACTAAGCTACATTCCCAGTCTGTCTATTGTTAATTGTAAGAGGTACTGTCCAATGCTTTCTCTTCCTTCCCACCCACTAATAGTGCACCCTGCTCACCCTTAGTATCACGGAGTTTTAGTGTTTGTTTTTCTGTCTTGTTACTGTGGTTGAACCCATGACCTTGTGTTCTCATTTGGCATTTTCACTTATAGCTGGTGCTCTACTACTGGAACTATGTCTCCTGTCCTGGTTTTTAGTTTTATCAGGTCAGTGGGAGAGGGGACAACAGTATTTCACTTTAATCTTTTGATTTTGTGTGAGCTTGGACTTTTTTTTTTTTTTTTTTTTTTGGTCATGGGGCTTGAACTCTGGGCTTGGGCGCTGTCCCTCAGCTCTTCAGCTTAAGGCAAGCACTCTACCACTTGAGCCACAGCGCCACTTCCGGTTTTCTGGTGGTTTATTGGAGATAGTCTCACAGACTTTTCCTGCCCAGGCCGGCTTTGAACTGTGATCCTCAGATCTCAGCCTCCTGAGTAGCTAAGATCACAGGCATGAGCCACCTGACTTATATTTATACATATTGAACACTTGGAATTTTATTTAGATGGTGGAGACATTATAAATTAGATTGTGCAGATGGTTGTGTAACTAAGTAACTTTGTAAAATTCATTAAGTCTGTGTGTTTAAAATGGGGAAGTGTATGGTATGGAGTTGTATCTGAAGGAAGTTTTAAAAAGTAACACACATGGGAGGCATCCTGAGGAGTGGACGTGATTGGATTGAAATCAGCAATGTACTACATACCTATGGCTCCTTTATTTCACCTGGCTTTGCTGGCTCCTCCTGCTTCCACATATCTATCTTCTTTCTTTCTTTCGAAATTTCTTTCTTTCTTTCTTTCTTTTTTCTTCTTTCTTCTTCCTTTCTTTTTCTTTCTTTCTTTCTCTCCCTCTCCCTCCTCCTCTCCCCTTTCCTTTATCTTCCCCACCCTCCTCTCTCCTTTTGAGATCGAGTCTCATCATGTTGCCCAAGCTAGTGTCAAATTCGTGAACTCAAGTGACCTTCTGGCCTCGGCCTCCTGTGTAGCTGAAGATGTCAGGCACCGTATTTGTGTTTTGTACCATTAACCTTGTAGCCTGCCTAAACTCCTTTAGATGAAGTTGTCCACGCATAATATGCTACGAGACAAGGTCATTCTGTCCCCACCTCCATTTGGTAAGACTTTGCCTTTCTGAAGTTCTGATTTTTCATTACATTGAGACCTCAGGTGGCTTCTCCCATCCTTATCTCCAAGGTTCTATTCAGTACCCTCCTTGGGTACTTTCATATTTTAAAACAAAGCAACTCAAGCAGCACAAGGTAGTGCTGTGGATTGGGGGGATAGTGTCCTTGTGGTTTCTTCTCTGGGTGACAACAGATGGCAATTTCTGTGTGACAGCAGTAAACTTGGTGGGGGGGAGGTTGAAGTTGAAGTCAGTATTTTTCCAGAAACTTATTTGGGCTGATGGGTTCAAGGAAAGTGTCCCTTCCCTTCCCTTCCCTTCCTTCCCTCCCTCCCCCCCCACCCCCCGCCATTCTAGCAGAGAGGTGTTTGATACAGAAAGGCACATTTACTCTGCTCATTAGCAAATATATATTAAGCTCATCTTATGTGTTGCATCCTGTAAAGTATCAAAACTGGAAAGTTTTAAAGTGCTGATTCTTTGAGTTGGGTCTTTTTTTTTGGGGGGGGGGGGGGTCTGGTCGTGGGGCCTGAACTCTGAGCCTGGGCGCTGCCCCTCAGCTCTTCAGCTCAAGGCCAGCGCTCTACCACTTGAGCCACAGCACCACTTCCAGCTTTTTTCTTTTTGCTTATGTGGTGCTGAGGAATTGAAACCAGGGCCTCATGCATACAAGGCAAGTGCTCTACCACTGAGCCACCTTCCCAGCCCTGAGTTGGGTCATTTTGTTAGTTAGCAGCTTCATTAGGATATAATTTGCACATCATGAAGTCCATCCATTTAAAGCATACAATTTGATATATTTAAAATTTTTCTGAGAACTGGGTGCCAGTGGCTCACACCTATAATCCTAGCTACTCAGGAGGCTGAGATCTGAGGAGTGTGGTTTGAAGCCAGCCCAGGCAGGAAAGTTCATGAGACTCTAATTTCCACTAAACTCCAAAACCAAACCAAACCAAAACACCAAAAATGGAGCTGTGTCTCAAGTGGTAGAGCACTAGCCTTGAGTATAAAAGCTCAGGGACAGTGCCCAGGCCCAGCGTTCAAGCCCCAGGACTGGCCTCCCCCCAAAAAAATCTTCAGAGAATTGTGCAACAACCAGCATAATGTAACTTGAGAACATTTTCATCTGCCGGGAAAGAAGCCCCTATATTTTAGGAATTATTTCTCACTCCTCCTCAGAGTGGCACTCATCCATTTTCTGTGTCTATGAAATATCATACTCTGCATATTTTATGTCCGTGGAATTATGAAATATGAGGTCTTTTGTGACTACCCTCTTTCCCTGCATAATATTTCCAAAGTTTATCCAAAATTAATCAATTTAGAGACAGGATCATGTTATGTAACCTAGCTGGCCTTAAACTTGCGGTCCTCACACCTCAGCCTCCTGAATGCTGAGATTATAGGCATGTGCCACCATGACCTTCTTTTTGTTCCATTTTAATGGCAGCCTCACATACTGGTAACCGATTCTGTAGTTGGTAGACATTTGGGTCATTTCTACTTTTTGGCAATGAGGAACAAAGCTGGTGTGAAGATGTTTTAGTAGGTCTATCCTCACTGTTTTGCACTGCAAGGATTTGACTGTCCTCTCTAAACTGTGACGGCTATTATACTCAGGATCTCTTCTAACCCCAGTTTGGTGTGTGTGTGGGGGGGGGGGGGGGTGGAGAAACAGGCTACAGATCAACACTTGCCAAAGTGCTTGCAGAAAGATGAAAGGAAAGGAGGATGGAGAGGGGGAGGGAGGAAGAGAGGGAGTAGAATGGACATCTGTCTCAGAGCTCGGGGGATGGAACTCACCCTTCTGGGTCACTGGGTTGGGGAACCGGCACATTTTCTTCTTGGTAGTCTTCCTGGTGGGTTGGACGGTGGTGGGAAGAACATCAACTGCAGACAGAAAGCAAAGCACACATCTTAGCCAGCTAAAGAGCAGGTAGACTAAGAGACAACCCTGTGTCTTATATGCAGGTACTGGAGTCTTCACGATGGATCACTGATCTCCATGATGCTACATGGACTTGCAGTCACACAGCAAGAAAGCTTCTCATCTGCTCTCAATATGTCTAGTATCTTAGGTGGGGGGAGGGGGGGGTCAGCTTGGTGTCTTGGAGAAAGGGGCTGTTGACCCTCCTTCCCAACCCAGAAGCCAGTGAGGAGGCCTATGTTTTGTTTTTTTTTGGTCGGCCGTGGGGCTTGAACTCTGGGCCTGGGCGCCGTCCTTCAGCTCTTCAGCTCAAGGCGAGCGCTCTACCACTTGAGCTACAGCGCCACTTCCGAGAAGGCCCATGTTAAGGAGATGCCGGCTCTGTTTTGCACACATGGCATCATGATGGCTACTTAGTTTGAGATTAGTTTCCTTTCTCTTAGAAGTCCTTAAAAATAATGTAATATAAACTAGATGCTGGTGGCTCACGCCTGTAATCCTAGCTACTCAGGAGGCTGAGATCTGAGGATCGTGGTTTGAAGCCAACCCAGGCAGGCGTCTCTTATCTCCAATTAATCACCAAAAAGCTGGAAGTTGGGGTGTGGTGAAAGTGGTAGAGCACTAGCTTTGCACATAAAAACTCAGGGACAGTGCCTAGCCCCTAAGTTCAAGCTCCAGGACACACACACACACACACACACACACACACACACACACACACACACACGTCAAACTCATAGATCAAGCCAAAGCCTTTGTCATTAGTACTGAGGAATGACTGTGAGGTCACCTCATGGCTCCCTGCTGGGGTGTCATGTCCTTACTGCTCATGGCCCCAAGAAGGCAGGGGCTTCTCAACTGGTCCCTGGTGAGTTTGGAAGGGAATTAGCTCTACAGGGCCCTTAGTTCCTTGGCTGGGCACAGAAACCTAGATATGATGTGGGAGCTCTTGGGGGTACTAAGAGCTGTTCTGTTTTAATTTCATCTGGCCCACAACAAAGTTCCTCTTGATCCCGCCTTACCCTCCGGTTTCAACCTCTCTCTGTGTCTTCCTGCAATGGACAGGCTCTCTGGGCCCATGGTATGCTTAATGGGCCTGAACTAGGCCCCATCTTTTTCCAGACACTTGCTCTATCACCCCGGCTTCTCTTCTCCATCACAGTCAGACAGATAGAAATTCTGGTTCTGGGTATTCAGTCTGTGGGTGAACTGGCATGATTATAAAAATGAGCTTTGGGGAGTTGTTGCCACTCTTGGGGTTCCGGGCAGCATATGTGGCTTGGAAATAGGAAAGCCAGGTAGTGGTGGGTGGAGTTGGTGCTTTCGGGAAGTTTCTAGAAGTTTCTGCAAATCAGTTATGCTTCTTCACCAACCACCTTCCTCAGACACTGAAATCTCATGAGTGGAAAGATGTGGGGTACATAGAGACAAAAATAATTAACCAAACCCAAACCCAAAGTCCCTAATTCTATACAAGAATCAGTACACTGATCTACCCCTACCTCCAAGAGAGGCGTTCACTTTCTCCGAACCTCATGCTCACCCCACAGGGTAGGCCTGTTTGGTTTGGTTTTAGTCAAGGTCTCACTTTGGGCTCAGGCTGGCCTGGAACTCATAATCCTCCTGTCTCAGCTTCCCAAGTGTTGGGGTTACAGGCCTATATCACCTAGATGGTTTTTGTCTTTCTAATTAGGCTTCTATTCCTAGTTGTCTCTACCTCTTCACTCCAAGATCCCTTGTCCCTCTCAGTGCCCCCTATAGGAGCAGGAGACAGGGACATAGGAGCCCTGACCATAAGTTGAGCTGGGATAGCAGGGCTCACTAAAGCCATACAAGGGACTGGGAGAATTTGCCATAATCCTCCTCATTCTTGGAGGCTGAGTGTGTCTAACATGGCAGCCACTGGCCACATGTGCAGCTTAGATTGCACAATGTGGTCAATCTGTATGCAGAAAGAATGCCAAAATATTTCAGCAATAACTCATACTGGTTACTTACTGAAATGATAACAGTGTGGATAAATTGGGTTAAATTTATGAAAATTAGTTTCTCTTGTTTCTTTTTCATTTAAAAAAATTCAAAAATTTAAAATTAGGGGCCGGGAATGTGGCTTAGTTGTACAGTGCTTGTCTAGCATGCATGAAACCTTAGGTTCAATTCCTTAGTACCACGTAAAGCAAAAAAGCCAGAGGAGGTGCTGTGGCTCAAAGATAAAGTGCTAGCCTTGAGCAAAAGAAGCTCACAGACAGTGCCCAGGCCCTGTGTTCAAGCCCCAGGGCTGGCAGAAAAAAAAAAAGAAAATTTAAAATTGTATCTTTAGCTTGAATATATTTTTACTGGATATACTAACTGAACTCACAGAACTGAAGCTTCCCAGGACTAAAGGAGTTAACAGTTCCCATGAAACAAATGAGAAGATTGAGGTTGCCAGGAAGGGAAGGGCCTGCCTAATGCCATGTGACAAATTAGCAGCAGAGATGGGCCTGAGATCCAGTTTGCTTACTCCCCAAAACTCTAAGGATAGGGTTCAATCCACAAAGAAGACTGAAGGCATCTACACCTCTACTACCCTGGGAATGCTCTCATTGGGTGTGCCCAGATAAAAAGAGCCTCCTTTCCTTGTGAATATAATCAGCATTTCTGAGATCCCCATCTGAGCAGGGACCCAGCTCTGCTGTGACTTGAAGGGCATAAAAAACACAACGTTTTGTCTCCATAAAAGCACAGTGCTGGCCTGGTGCAGGTGGCTCACGCCAGTAATCCTAGCTACTCAGGAGGCTGAGATCTGAGGATCATGGTTCAAAGTCAGCCCAGGCAGGAAAGTCTGTGACACTTTCATCTCCAATTAACCACCAGAAAACTGGAAGTAGCACTGTGGCCCAAGCGGTAGTCCTGCTGCAGAGTAGAGCTCACTGAGAGCTGGGCTGCCCCAGGGTCTGGTACACAGTAGGTGTACAATGCTCATTTATATAGTACTAGCTTGTTCTTACCAACATTCAGTAGAATGCTCTTCCCGAAGGTCAGCTTAGGGGACCCGACGGTCATGCACGAGTAGATGCCACTGTCTGCAGGTGTCACATTCGTGATATTGAGAGTGGGCTTGGTCATGTCCTGTAACAAAGTTAGCTTCTCTTTTGTCACCCCTGCGTTGTATATCGTCGTTTTTTTTCCAGAATCCCAGTAGGCCAGGACATCATAGTAGCTGCCATTGCTGGGGGCCTGGTGTAATTTCAGCCAGTAGAGACGTGCATTGCTCGGGAAGGATTTCATCTGGCAGGGCAGAGACCCTATTTGGTGGCTCAGAACTTGCACCAGTGCAGGGGCTTGCTGGAAGGCAAGGATGCCTCTCAGAGCTGCAAAGGGGCAGAAGGACAGAAACCTTCAGCACATTTTCCTGGACAAGCTCATGGGGGGAGGGGGTCGTGTGTCTCAGAGTCACACCAAGCCATGGATCAAAGCCCAATGAAAATCCTTTCAGTGACAGGGTCTAGGGGTGGAGGTGGGGGGAGGTGAGGGAGCTCCTGGATTAGAGCCTCACAGAGATCAGTGGCCAGGCAGATGATTGCTATAGTTTTACATTGGGCACAGGAACACTGTGGCTATTTGGTGATAGTAGACTAAATACCAGGCCCTTGGCATGGATTATTTCAGTCAAATCTCAAACTGGCTTTGGGATATTTTTGTGTGTATATGGATGTGCCGGTACTAGGCTTGAACTGAGGGTCGGGTGCTGTCCCATAAGCTTTTTCACTCAAGGCTGGAACTCTACTGCTTGAGCCACAAATCCTTATCTAGCTTTTTGGTGGTTAATTGGAGATAAGAATCTCAGGGACTTTCCTGCCTGGGTTAGCTTTGAGCCATGCTTCTCAGATCTCAGCCTTCTGAGGAGGTAGAATTACAAGAACTAGAATTACATTAGCTACCAATGCCGGACTAGTTTGGGGATTTTTACCCCTATTATGCAGATGAAAAAAATCTAGGCAAGAAGCTACTTAATCGAAGTCCCAATTACAGCTATTAATTTACCCAAAGTTTGAAGCCAAAATTGGTTGTCTTTAGCTTTCCCTGGCTGCCATCTGATGCACAGGCCTTCCCGAAGCTTCTAGCAGCTGAAAATCTAGGCATGATGGGAGAGGAGCCTAGACTCAGGCAGAGCACTTGGTTGATCTGCTACTTAAAACAGGACCAGCCACCATTTCTGGGCAACTGTCTCCAGCAGGCACAATTATAGACATTTTTCCCCAATCCAGGTCCCAACCCAAACAAAAAGACAAGCACCCCAGAAGCAGGGCTGGGAATTCACTTTAGTATCAGAGGGGAAGGCCAAGTAGGCAGAGGTTTGTTCATGAGGAATAAGTGGGACTTACAGACCTGGCTGGAAATCCAGCCCCTGCTCTGCAGCAGTGTAGTCACGGAGCAATGGCTTGGGGCTACTGTTCTGTTTGCCGAAGAGCATTGGAAATAAATGGGAGGCCACGTGCCAATCGCTCACGCTTGCAATCCTAGCTACTCAGGTGCCTGGGATATGAGGATCATGGTTGGAAGCCGGCCCATACAGGAAAGTATCTCCAATTATTAGTAAAAAGTCAGAAGTAGAGCTGTGGCTCAAGTGGTGAAGTGCTATTCTTGAGCAAAAAAAGCTATGGGACAGTGCCCAAACCCTGAGTTCAAACATTATTACTGCCAGCAATCTCTCTCTCTCTCTCACACACACACACACACACACACACACACACACACACAGCACCACACCACACCACATGGAAGAATGAAATAAAAAGGGAAAGGAGGGAAGAGAGGGAGAGAGGGAAGGAAGGAAAATGATATGGGAGAAATCACACTATACACAGGTAAATATCATCCACCAGTCTCATATCTCACATTATTGTTACTAAAAATAAGTAAAACCTCAAAAAGGAGCAGAAGGGTTCCCTTCATGGCCAAGACTTCACTCACAGTTCCAATAAATCCTATCTGACCTTTCATTTTGGCTTGGGACAGAGGGCCACTCTGTGTACCATGGAGAAGCACAAAGATGACACGAATCTGGGTGAGCAGAGGAGGCCTCTGTGTGTGTGTGTGTGTGTGTGTGTGTGTGTGTGTGTAACACAGAGGAGCCAGCTTCCTGAGTTAGTGGCCCATGTTTCTGTCTGTGCTTGCAGCTGATACTTCATGGCCCCATGTGACCCTAGGACATAATGAGATTAATTTAAACTTAATTTATACAGACTGTACCTTCACATCAGTTGAAGTTTCGACTTTCTTTTCTTTTCTTTTTTAGATCTGAGATTGGGACTTAAACTTGGTACCTGATGCTTTTGCTTGTTGGCTGGCACTCTACCAACCCTGAAGCTTTGACTTTCATTGGCAAGGAATTTGCACTTGGTGCCAAGTGGCTTCTGGGCTTTCTCTTTTCTCCCCAAATGCCTGACTGCCTTTTCCAGTGGTGCCTTTGGAGAAATAGTCAATAATGTAGTATTTACAGAGATATGGAAGGCATGGTCATGCATTCTCTTGCTTAATTCTCATCTGATTCTATGGGGAAAGAGATTACTTTACAGGCATTTTACTTATGAAAAACAGAGGCTCAGGAAGGGTAAGAGTGTTATATAAGTTACATAACCTGTATATAGTGTACCACACTTAAACCCTAGTCATGGGACCCCAAAACTTGAGCGTGAAGCCTCTGAGTTAAAGAAGCCTGTGATCTACTCCTAGGACTTAGACACATAATGGGGCTACAAAATACAGATGAACAGAAGTCCTTCCAGAAAATCCCAGAAGTGGCTCCTTAGTGTAAGGCCTGGGCTATAAGTATCTGTTTCCCCCTTCTGATTAAGACACATCCTGGGGCTGGGAAGCTGCCTCAGTGGTAGAGCACTTGCCTTGCATGCATGAGGCCCTGGGTTCAATTCCTCAGCACCACATAAGCAAAAAGAAAAAAGCCGGAAGTGGCGTTGTGGCTCAAGTGGTGGAGTGCTAGCCTTGAGCTGAAGAGCTGAGGGACAGCGCCCAGGCCCAGAGTTCAGGCTCCACGACTGGACCAAAAAAAAAAAAAAGACACATCCTGTTCCCTACCAAGATTCCCCCACCCCCCTCTGTGTCAGCTTGCTTCTCTGGCCACTGTACCTGGCCGTGACTGAGACCCTACTGCTTTCTGGACACAAAGACAGGTTTCCAAGACACACGTGATCTCATTTGATTTCAGTAACCCACTAATTCCATTTTCAAAGGAACCTGATATTTCTAGAACCATGGGCAATAATCTTCCCAGTCTTTATTGGCCTAGACTCATTTCCATGTATGAGGTCTGAGGGTTAGTGTCTGGTCTAGCTGGTAGGATGTCAGTTTTGGGGGGTTAGGGGTCAAAGATGAGTGGGCATTTGGCAGTTAGTCTCACTGGGAGCCAGTTTCAACCCTAAGGGAATCTGCCAACTCCAAACTTTCAACCTCAGCACAATGTCTTTGAGGAGCCAAAGTACCCACCACCCCTAATGCCAGAGCCAGAAGAGGAGGTGCCCAGCTAGAGCTGTCCCTGGACTAGCAGCACTGGGTGGCTTCTGTCCAATTGTACCACCACAACTTCCCAGAAGTAATAAAGATGTGTCTGCAGGACTCTCTGCTTGGGCCATGCATGGGGCAGGAAGGCCAGACCGGGCCCCTGGCACCTTCCTAGGGATACATACCTATGGAGCTCCTGGATAAGGATATCTTTTTTTCCTTCTTCTCCGATGCCCTCCTGCTCACATCCTCCTTCCTTTCCCCTTCCCTCGCTTTCCTCTCTCCCCTTTTCCTGCCACACCTCCAGGCTTTGGGGCAGAGGTCTAAGACATAAGGCTGTCGATGCCTGGGCTGGTGATGAGCTCATGGAGGGTTTTATATTCCTTTCCACTCTCAGAGACTGTGCCAGCCAGCGGCCCCCACCGCTGTCTCCACAGCGGGGCTCTGAGCTCTGCCTTTGAGACAACCATTTCCAAACCGGCCCTGTCCCCTGGTCTAGTTCAGACCATCCCCTGGGGAGTGGGGACAAAGTCCAGGCTTACCTGCCAGGACGAGCCAAAGCCAGGGCTGCATCTTGGGGCCCCTCCAGGACGGTCGGGGTAGAGGGCGGGCGGGGCACCCGGGGCACCCAGTGGGGGTGGGGTGGGTGTTGATGAATAGGGGCGGGGCTGTGGTGTGTGGGGATGGCTAGGTCTCCGCCCACAGCTTCCTGAGAGGTCTGGGCTGCACTGATCCCACCCCAGATCCCCGTGCAAGGCCTGACAGCACTGAGTCGTGCCAAGCACCAGCACGTGTGTAAATGCCTCCTGCCCCCGGGAAAGTGTTCAGGACAGGGTCGTGACCCATTGTGACAGCTAGGCCAACTGAGGCCCAGAGATCAACAGGTCCTGCTGGAGGATTGTGGAGGGAATGTAACTAGATAGCACTGCTTTCCTTTATTGCTCTCTCTCTCTCTCTCTCTCTGTGTGTGTGTGTGTGTGTTTGTACAGGGGCTTGAATTCAGGGCCTGGACACTGTCCCTGTGCTTTATTGCTCAAGGCCAAGTGCTCGCTCTACCACTTGAGCCTCAACTCCACTTTAGGCTTTTTGATGGCTAAGTAGAGATTAAGACTCTCAATTTCCTGTCCTGGCTGGATCCTCAGATCTGAGCCTCCTGAATAGTTAGATTACAGGTGTGAGCCACACAGAATTTGCAGTGTGAAGAGGGGATTGATGTGTCACTAGAGACCGTGGAGTGAGAACATCATGATCTTCAACCTCCAAACCCAATGTTCTTTCTCCTCTAGTACTGCTCATTATTGGTGATAGGCTTCACTGTTTAAAGGAATTGGAGGTGACCAAGCAAGAAAGAAGTAGGGCCATGTCCTGAGTAAAACAGCTCAGCCAAAACCTCCTCCCCGTTGTCATATTGTTATTGTACCCAGGAGCAGTTGTCTTTGGAACTACAGTTTGAACTGAGGGCCTTCCAGTTGCTAGGCAAAGCACTGTAACGCTTGAGCTGCACAACCAGCCTTTTCTGTTTGAGTTTTTCTGGGAGGGTCTCATGTTTTCACCTAGAGTGGGTTTCAAACATTGATCCTCCAGTCTTTATCTCCTAGAGATGGTGTTACAGATGCGACCCACCCTGATTTGATCATTTATTGAGATAATCTTGATAACTTTTTTGTGTTGTGTGCTAGTATTAGAGCTTGAACTCAGGGCCTTATGCTCTCACTCAGTTTTCTTGCTCAAGTCTTGTGCTTTAGTGCTTGAACTATTCCTCTGGTTCAGCATCTTTTGCTGGCTAATGGGAGATATTATCTTTTGGACTTTTCTACCCTGGATGCTTTCAAACTTTGCTCCTCAGATCTCAGTCTCCTGAGTAGCTGGGATGATAGGTGTGAACTAGAGTCTCCCAGATTTCAATAACATTTTTTTTTTCCCTGAGTGACCTCCAACCTCCAATTTCCCAATCTCGTCCTTCCAGGTAGCTGGGATTACAGGTTTGGACCCACCCACACCCAGCCCAACACTATTGATAATATTACAAATAAACATTTGAAAGCATACAGTCCAGAAGTAAGTAGTGCATTATTCCCTATGGCTCCTTTCTTTCAGTTCCTGAAAACTACTAATCCTTAGTAGTAGTTGGACTCGTCAGTTCTAGATATTTCATGTAAAGGAAATCATGTAAAAGATTGTCTTTAGTAAATGACTTCATCTACTAAACACTACATGCTTATGGTTTTTCTACATTGTCATATAGTCCAGTTTTTCATTCCTGTTTATTGCTTGACATAGCCAGTTGCATTTACCATAGTTTGTCCATCTATTGATGAACCTTGGGATTGACTGCTAAGGCTGCCCTTTGGCTATTAACATGGGGCTGCTATAAACATTTACATGCAAGTGTATGTTTAAGTGTTTTCAGCATTTGCATGGGGGGGGGGTAATGTGCCATGGAATAGAGTTTCTGAGTCATATAGTAATTGTTTAACTTTTTGAGGAACTGCTCATCTGTTCTCTCTAGTAGCTATGCCACTTTGTCATCACCAACCATGTAGGAGAGCTCCTGTATGCCCATATCCTCACCAGCACTTGTCACTTTTTTTTGGCCAGTCCTGGGGCTTGCATTCAGGGCCTGGACACTGTCTCTGAGCTTCTTTTGCTCAAGCCTAACACTAGATCGCTTGAGCCACAGCAACACCTCCAGCTTTTTCTGTTTATATGGTACCGAGGATGGAACCCAGAGTTTCATGCGTGCTAGGTAAGCACTCTACCACTAAGCCACATTCCCAGCCCATTTTTGCTTTTTTATTTATTCTAGGGGGTATATACAAAATGATAGCTCATGGTGGTTTTGATCTGTATTTTCCTAATGACATAGGATACTAAGCAACTTTCTAATGCTGGTTGGCCATTTATATTTCTTCTTTGAACGTCTATTCAAAATATTTGTTTCTGCCTACTTTTGGGTAGAAACAATGCTTCAAAGTCATTGTGAAGGAAGTAACTTTCTCACTAAGTTATTTGCCTGTAGTGTGTGTGTGTGTGTGTGTGTTTGTGTGGGTGTCTGTGTGTGTACTGGGACTTGAATTCAGGGATTGGGTGCTGTCCCTTAGCTTGTTGGTTAAGGCTGGTACTCTACCATTTGAGTTCTACCTCTACTTCTGGATGTTTCCAGATTCAGTGGAGATAAGAGACTCAGACTTCTCTGCCTAGATGGCTATGAACTTTGATCCTCAGATCTCTCAGCCTCCAGAGGAGTTACTTGCTGCTTTGTTATGATTTCCTGCCCAGGCTGGCTTTGAACCATGGTCCTCAGATCGCAGCCTCCTAAGTAGCTAGGATTACAGGTATGAGTCACTGGTGCCGACAGGTTTTTATTTTTTGATTTGTTGATAGAAGTTATTTGTCTAGTAGAACTCTGTGAGGTCTAAATCAGACCAAAACACCCAAAATGTAAGCAAGAAAATTAATACAAAGTGTTGTTAGCTAAGAAAAGATGGCTAGGTGCACAGAAGACTCTAAAGCAGGTGTACACAGATTCTTTCTGGAAAGGGTCAGGTAGAAAACATGTGGCACATGTCCCTGGGTTTTGTGGCAGGAGGCCTGGTCGATGATACTATGTAGGCATTACTAGAACACAGAAAACAAATATTCATCCTTTTTATTGATGAAACCCCATGATAAAAATCATTGTAATACAATTTAATGAATGAGAAGATCAAGATCCATTTTGTTTGGATAACAATTTTCTCAGTTGAGATTCAAATGTGACAACTATTGGTAGCTTAAGAACAATACAAAAGCAGATGGTGGCTGGACATGACCTGCAGGTGGCAGTTTGCCTGCTTTAGCTGAGCAGTCTCTCCCTGTTGACTGGCTTGCTGGCATAGAATAGGGCAACTCTGGGAAGAGGAAGTCTTCTTTTCCTGCTTCCACCTTACATTGATCCTCCTGCACCCTCTACTGGCAGAGACTAGCATCCAGCCAACTAGCAAACAACTATAATAGTCTGCTTCACAAACCAAAAAAAAGCTGCCTGGGTCTAAGATGCAACAACTTGACAACCAGCACAGGAACATTATAATAGAGAGTGATGCAAATAAGTCTACTCCACTTTGATGATTGCCTTTGGGAACAGTTACAGAAAAGTCTCATGTGATACCAGATTCGAAGTAGAAACACTTTGAAAAGTGAGTCTACTTCTCATCTCTCTTCAACCTAAGCCAACAGTGGGGCACCAGTGGCTCACCCTTGTACTCCTAACTACTCCAAAAGCTGGGATCTGAGGATCACTCTTTGAAGCCAGCTTAGGCAAAAAAATCTGAGAGGCTCTTATCTCCAATTAACCAGCAAAAAACTAGAAGTGGAGGTATGGCTCTAGTGGTAGAGCCCCAGACTTGAGTGAAAAGCTCTAAGGCACGTTAGCCAGGGCCCCAGTTCAAGCCTAGTGTCAGCACAAAACAAAGATTTTTGAAGCCAAGATTAAAACAGCACAATGTGGGCTAGGACTGTGGCTTAGAGTGCTTGCCTAGCACACATGAAGCCCTGGGGTTTGATTCTTCAAGTACAACATAAGCAGAAAAAGCCAGAAGTGTTGCTGTGGCTTAAGAGGTAGAGTGCTAGTCTTGGGCAAAAGAAGCTCAGGGACAGTGCCCAGGCCCCAAGTTCCAGCCCCAGGACTGGCAAAAAACAAACAAACAAACAATAACCAAACAACCAAACAAAACCTGCAGAATTTCAGGTCTGCTTATAGTTAAAGCCCAGAGCATTAAGCCTCCAATCTGAATAGAACAGGAAGAGCCTTAAGTCTCTAGCTTCTAAATTCTGGAGAAACAGGCTTCAAGTTCCCAAGGTTTGGATATGGGAGCTTCTGAGCTTGCCAGCTCAGCCTCTAGTCCTTGGGCATTCAAGAGTCCAAGTCTGCCAATTCTGGAAGAGCTTCTAGTCAGGCACCAGTGTCTCATGCCTGTAATCCTAGCTACTCAGGAGACTGAGAGCTGAGGACCCTGGTTTAAAGCCAGCCTGGGCAGGAACGTCCATGAGACTCTTATCATCAATTAACCAACAGAAAAACAGAAATAGAGCTGTGGCTTAAGTGGTAGAGCACTACTCTTGAGTGACGAATCTAAGGGAGAATGCCCAAATCCTGAGGTCAAGCCCCAGGACTGGAAAGGACTTCAAGCAGCTGATTGGTAAGAAAAGTGGGTGGTTAATTAATTGCTTCAAAGTCATTTCACTCATCCATTTGGGATCCCAAGTTGTCTGAGCATCAATAACAACTGCCCAAGATGGCCTCATCCCACAAGTCCCTCTCCTCCGGACTTTCTTTGCTATGTCCCTTTTTCTTCCTGTGGGATTGGCTTTCCACTTTGGGGGCATCTGCTCCATACAGGTGGTTCTTCATTCTGCCTGAGGAATTCTGTATTCTCTCTGACTCTGTCTTGGTTCTCTTCCTGTCAAGGTCCTGGTGTTCTTTGAGGGAACCTAGCTCTGCACGGTATTTCCTCTTGCCCTTCACTGGGTCCTCTGTGGCAGCATCTCCTTCCTCCTCCCACTGCCTCCTTTGGCATCTGTCTTGATAGCCTGCTGGGTGGATCATGCTGCCGTCCTCCCAGGAGAGGC